CGGGTGGTGATCAACATGGTCGTCTCTCTGACAGCCGCTCCGAGTTCCCAAGTTCAAATTGCGATGCGGACCGGGAAAGCGTTGTCTAATAGCGCGCCCAGATTTTGCACCGGGTCGTTACGAGGTCAATACCAGTTTTAGAAAGTGCAACCTCTGAAATCGCAGACGTCGACGTTCTCTTTGATACGGGCTAATGCATGCTATCATGGATCAATGGTCAACCGATGTTATCATGGTTTACTGGTTCCATGAATCTATGGTTAAATTTATGTCTATGACTCATGGACAGTCCTTTGGTTATTTTATCCACGAAGGGGCAAATTTTGCCACGTTTCTGGAGGTGCCTTAGTAAAGCACCCTGAACATAGCGTTGAAAGAAACCAGCGTATCGACAGGACATTAATCCAGACGCTTTAGGCCAAACGAAGCTTTGGAACGAATATGCACGGTTTTTCTGATAACCACCTCAAACATTCATTGCCAACTCTGTAGCTGAACACTTCTCAGTGTGCAACTTGACGGTTAAGCTCAATTTTCTTCCACACAACCACACTTAAAGTGTACAACATAGTCACATGTTTGCATGACAGAAAACGCCTACTTATCCAAAGTCGCCAAAATTGAGAAACATGATAATTTTATCGAAAAATTGGTCTGCTAAGAGTTTCCGATTTCCTATTGTGAACCAATAATCTGTTTCGATTTTTATTTTGCAGGACAGAAAATCTCTCTTGGATTTGCTTTTGGAAAGCAAGTTTTCTGGTGAACTCCGCATGACCGATGAAGATATCCTAAATGAAACCAGTACAATGTTCATCACGGCTTTTGACACGCCTGTCATTGTCGTCACATTCGTCTTAAAAGTACTCTCTATCCGACCAGACATACAGGAGTTGGTCTATGCCGAAATATGTGACGTTTTACAGGAGAAAGATCACAAATTAAGTAGTGACGACTTGTCTAGGTATAGTATGATCTTCTTTTTATCTTGCAAACGGGCTTTACGGAACAGTGTCACATCTTTCCCAAAATATCGAGTTTAAAGGCTCGAGGTCGTATGCCGTACTTCTTTAAATGGGCCATCGCACAAAAAAAAAACAACGAAAGTGGTAGTCAATATTTCTACCGCAAAAACATTGGCAAAATTGTTTCTACTTGAGATCGTTTCCGAGCTCTGATTATGGTCTTTCCTCTCGAGAACAACACTTAGCACTTGCAAGCCCTTTTTCTTCTGCGTTAAAAGAGCCCTTCCACTCAAATTTTTTTGGAGCTCCATTTGAATATTGTTAGGTGGGCCATCTACAACAACACGTAAGACCACTCGTCACCGGTGCCTCGATCAAAGTGGGTTCAGAAAAGCCCTCGATCTTTTTTTCAAAAAGGCGTGACCGTCAGTGACAATTTTGGTGTGTTTTTCCTATTTGTGGCGAATCCTGCCAACGTCTAAACGTCAAAACGCCCAGAAAAATTGACGCTGTGCCTGACAAGACCGACAAAGGGTCATACAATACTGAGCGTCAAACCAATGTCTAAACGTCAAATCCTTGGCTTGGTGGTACAAAATCTGATATTTTCTCGCGCCGCGTGTTTGCTGGCCAACACGACGACCATCTCGGATGCGTGGTCGCGTGAGAACTTCAAATTCGATCTGACGTACGCCGAACGCCTGTGCTCACTGGTACGTGACGAAATGCACTTTGCAAAACGCGGAAAAGAGCAATCTTTTGACCCCAGTTCTGGGGCGGTGCAAAGAGCTACTACACAAGCGCGCTCTTTCGTAAAATATTAAGGGTGTCCTTGACTACTATGTGACTACCTGCGAAGTCCACACATGCATCCGTTTAGGAGATATGGCTGGTCAAAGTGTGCCAATAATCCATTCGTACGTGTCCGTCAGTGACGATGTCCGCGCCCGTCAGTGAAGCCCTATCACTTTCGTTTTATGTCCGTCAGTAACGGCCTTTTTGCCACAGGATGAAATTCAAACAGTTCATCACACAGCAACCGCTCGGATGTCATTGGATAGATGAGCTTAAAAAGTACTTCAAGAATCATCTACGCTCGGTTCGATTCGTCCAGATCTACCCTTTCAAAACTAGAAAAAACCCGCGTTTTTTTGCGTACGGTCGTCCGTAAGTGACGCTTGGCATTGCCCATATGAAATGTAAACTATTGAAACGTTGAACCAAGGTCAACGTATCATTAAAAGTGATAAAGGAGAGCTTCAACTTGAGATTGCGACCGGAGTTTCACGTCCAAACATATTCGGATCAGATCACATAAAATGTATATGTTTAAAGACTGTCCCTGAGGTTTAAATCAAATTCTGACCAGCATACTGCAGACTTGTGTGGGTTCTAATCTTAACTATATTTGTAAAAGTACACACCATTGTGGCGTTTTTAGGAGATGATACTGAATCCCCACGCATCCATACAAAAAAGACGGATCAGAAAGCAGTCGCTGAACGAAGACACATCAGAAATAGGGAGTGGCTTAGGAAGGCCTTTTCCGATTTTGAAAACTCCTTACCTCCTAAATTACAACATTTTCATCGCAGTTTCCGAGATTAATTTTCTTTTTCATTTTGCCTATGTGATCTTCCGGTCGCAACTTTGTGCTAAATGTTTTCAGTAGGTACAAAAAGAAGTTTACAGCCCCTGTGGGTCATCGTAGTTCCAGAACGAGGGAATTATACTTCAAAAATGAGTAAAAACGACTGAAAATGCATTTTAACGTTTCTGATAGTACACTACCAAGCTCAGTATAAGAGGGGGGATTTTTTTTTTACGTAAGTTTGTGTCACCGAAAGTGTAAAGACGGGGTGGGTAAATTTTCAGGGATGAGGGGGAGGAGGAAGTATGTGTACAGATCACGATGGGAGGAAAGACGGTCGAGGGGGCCACCACTCTCTTTTGGATGATGCAAAGATTGCGTGATTTCACATGATTCCCCGGATTTCGCATATTATTTTAGAAGATATCACGCTAAAACCTGCCGGCAGATTATGTCTGATTTTAAGGATTACAGATGATTTCAGCGGATTTTACCGGATTTCGGCGGATTTCACAAGATTCCGGCGGATTTTACGTGATTCTGGCGGTTTTTACATGACCTTCTAAGGATTTCAGACTAAAATTTGCTGGCAGATTACGCATGATTTCATGATTGCAGGTGGATTTCAAATGATTTCGGGAGTATTTCAGGGAGGGCGTACACATGATTTCAGGAGTGGCGGCCCCCTCGGAGACGGTGGGGGCACGAAGTTCTCCCAGCAAAGGGACCCGTGGGTCCAAAATCTCGACAGGTTGGGGGATTAACGGGCGAGTCGGGGCTATCTAACGTGCCGGTACGGAGTACCTTCAGTCGGGGCGGCCTATGCAGGTAGGTGGGCCGCCCCGACTTAGCTTGAGCGGCACCGACCCTCGCCTGTCTTATTCGCCCGGAGTGTGCGAGAGAGAGAGAGAGAGTCAGGTAGAAGCCCATCCCGCGCAAGAGTCTGGGCTTCCCACCTACCTACCTGCACGGCGGCCCCGTCTGAAGGTAGTGTGAACGCGCCCTACAGTTGGCCCCGACCAGGGCGTTAATCTCCCAACCTGTCGAGATTCTGGAACCACGAACAGACCTCTCGTGCCCCCACTGTCTCTCCCT